GCCTTAAAGAGAAGTGATATGAGTTCTGACTCTGAGAAAGTTTTTAAAAATTTGGGAACAATGGAAGAAATTCGAAATGCAGCATTATACAATCAAACTTTAAGCGAGGAAATGAAAATAGCTATCAAAGATACTCAAGAAATTTTACAAAATAGAACTACCCGATTGAAATTACATAATCAGAAATTTAAGTGTATTGACCCAGCTACTTACAAAGAAATTAATAATTTATTTGATGTAAGTATTTTGATTTGTATTTACATGGATATATGAGCAATACGTGCTTAATTTTGCTATTTTATTGGGTAAAAATATAGATTTTAAAAAAGGTTGATCCTACCGTTACTCAAAATAATACTTCAAAAAATAAACTTCGTACTTGTGTTGATTTACAAGAATTTATTAAATCTCATTGTTTAGTTTGAGAATATTCATTCCAGGTATGATTTTACATTATAGATTATTTATTTTCTTTGAAATTATTACTTTTACTTATATTGGCTATTTTAAGATCAAAAAGTGCGGAAAAAATGAATGTGTTATTTGTGTTTCTATTCGATTACCACAGGAGATTTTTAATCAATTACATTTTATTCCAGACCCACAAATTTCAAGTGGTATGGTAATTTTATATTTTTTAACAATTTTGGTTTTTCTTATTTATCAAAATTTAATTTAGATCCCGATCACTATCAAGATTTCAATTCACTATACGGACGTAATACTACTGAAATTGACCTTCCAAGTAAAAAAAATAACCTAGTATGTCAAGAGCTTGCACCAGATGGAATGTTAGTTGCTGCAAGGGTTCGTGATTTTGCTCTTTGTACATCTTGCACAAAATTACGCTGCATCTTCAGTAAATATGTATTAAGAGAATCCGATAGTGAAATATTGCAAACAGCTATGGAAACATTTGCATATATATACATGTGGTTCGCCTATTGTTCCAGAAAATCATCCTTTATATAATAAGGTGTTTGTTAGAATGAATTTGGCTTGTGATTCACCAATTGAGCAGACTTATTATTCATGTAGAATTGAACATTCACAAGTTTGTTACTATTGTGGTGAGGAGGATAATCTTATCAACCCATCACCAGAAGTTTTATCCCGATTTAGAACAGTATATCCTTTATGCGAGGTTTGTCAAAAAAATGGTGTAACTTTTTTTACAAAAGGTAAACTTCAAATGAAAAAAAAGCAACGTGTATAATTGAAAATAATACTAAAATATAAAATAAAGAATAGTTACTTTTTTACATTTAAAAAAAAATATAAAATCCCCTCTTATTTTAAAAGTTTTTAATATTGTAAAAAAAATTAATATAATAAATACTCCCCCCTCAATTTTTACGCTCAATAATACTGTAAAAAAAATCTGTAATTTTTTTTTTTACCCCACCCCCCCCTTTTTTTTTAGAGAAGATTCTTGTTAAACATAATTGTTTATTAGAACGGCCTAATTACAAGAAAAATCTTTTTTTACTGTGATACAATAGGTTCTGTAGAATCCTTCATGTAGAAAGAGAGACTTTTGCTAAAAAAAATCATTTATATATACATATGTCTTACTCTTTAAGTATAATTTCCACCTAATAGTATATATGTGGGTATTTTTTTAATATGATAAGTAGTTCGTTAGTTAATTATATTAGGATCTTATTATATAGTTTTCTATATTTATGTATTTCTATACTTTTAACTCTTAATAAACTAGCAAATGTATTGTGATTAAAAAAAAAAATATGGTTTAAAAAAAATATTTTTTTTTTTTAAAAAAAAACTAAATTTTATTGTATAACAATATATATATATAAATATTTTTATTTATTTTATATAAAAGCAGAAAAGTAAACAATAAAAAATCCTACTAATTGAAATTTTTCACTTATTTTTATTTAAAAACAAACCTTTATTTATATTCTATAAAGTCCACTCATTAGTTCCTTATTCAGATAAATATAGATTATATAATAATAATTATTATTTTTTGGTAATCTGTATAACAAATTTTCATTTTTGGAAATTGTCTAAAGTAGAATAAATCACATGATTTAATATAATAAAATTTTTTATAAATTAAAATTAAATATAAATTTGAAAATTATAAATAAACTTATAAACATATTTTAGCCTATTCTACAAATTTATTTAAAGAAAAAAAGTAGATTTTTAAATATTATTTTTGATTTTACATTTGAACAACAGATTTTTGCTAGTGTTACAATCCATCTATCCAGGATTCTGCTTACAGTCAACTTCCTCTATAGTCACTCCCGTTATAGTCACATTCTACTATATAGTCACACCAGTTGAATGTTCAAAACACTTTATTATTAAAAATCTATCCTATATAGTCACAATC